TTGTAAAAAAAAATAGTTGATTTTGAATAACTTAGTGGTAATAAAAAAAAAAGTTGATAAAGTGACTGAAAGTCACTTATAAAATTGCTTTTATATTTACTCTTCTTTTATTATTACAGCGTTTTTTTCTATTTAAATATGTACTTGAAAGTTTCATTAATCTTTTTATCCATCTACAGTTTTACCAACTTTATCTAATTCATCTCTTTTTTTTTATAAATGCACAACAATTTTATTTTCAATATTGATTCAAATATTTGGAGCAACATTTTCAACTATAGTGCCTAGTAATAAGTTTACGTACGATACGTCCTATTGCGCGTTCGTATTACGGTGAAAGAGACTTTAAATTAGTCTAAAATATAAGGTTGGGTTCGGTATACAGAACAAATCCTAATTAAAAAAAAAAAAAACAAGAAAATGTGTGTTTGATAGTGTGTTGTACAGTACTGTCTGTACTCGAGGCATAAACTAGAAAAGCGACTAGGGAAAAAATACATATCGTCGGTACATAAATGTTAATGTACCATGCGCAATTTTACCTAAATATAATTCGATCGTATTAACGATAATGTCGATAAATAACAGCGTATAAGGTATAACAATATGCGCGAGCGACAGTGTATAATATTATATTATTAATGCCTACGAGTGCCTATATCGTGTGCGGCAAAATATCGTAAACCATTTTACCAACGAGGGTCAAATCAAATATAATAATTATTAACGAATTTATTGTGTATAGGTATACGTATATATTAAAAATAATCGGTTCGGGCTGGTCGCGTGATATACGGCGGCGTTGTGTACATGAAAAAAAATATAACGATCCGAGTAAAATAATAATAATAATAACAATATAATTGTAACCGTTTACGGCAATAATAATAATTATTATCGTAAAAAACTCAAGTCTTGCCCCCCCCCCCCCCCCAATGCAGTAAACAAGGCGACCGTCGTGATATTATATTTACGACACGACGGCGGCGGCGGCACAAGTACACACACATCATCACCCGGCGGCGGCGGTTCGTTATGTTTCCCTCCCTCGGGAAATAATTATCGCAGGTCCGAGTTTTCGTAAATTACACCCTCCGCTGGGATCCGCCAAACGTAACGCAGTTGTTTTCTAAGTATTTATTTAGTCGGGTTTCTCGTCGTTATAATAATAATAATATAATAATAATAACGCAAAAACAAAAACACCGGCAGACCCGAACGAATCATTGTAACGCGCGTTCTCGCGTAACGCAAACAATTCGACTGTTTGCCGAAATTATACGGAGGTTGAAAACATCGCGCGAACAATAATAATTAATTCCGCCGAGAAATTCGCAGCCGAAGTCAGACCGCCGAGCCAACCCCGAAAACCCGAACCGAACTCGAAACGGTTGATGTACCCCCCCCCCCCCCAAAGTGCGGACCCTCGTGTTATAATATTATGTATTATTAATAATATATTATAATAATTTGCATTATTTTAAATTCCGTGTCAACCGCGGCGAAGACGTTATCCCTGCAAACATTGCGAAAATAATACCCCCAACGACGACATTGTTACTGCGTAAACACATAATATTATAATAATAATAATAATAATAATATATACCTACCTAGTATATATCTATATATGTATAATTTAGAGACCGTTTAATCGCCGCCGTCTAAGTTAAAATGATGTGTGTTTAGCGCCATGTATATTTAATGAATTACCTCGTATCGTATTATTATTCGTCCGCCTCCCAGCGGGACGTTAAATTCATCAATAAATAAACAAATAAATATATTTATACGACTACCTATATGTATTGTAATATCATAATATAATAACACAATACGCGATAACTCCCGGTGCTGCAGCCAACTTTCCGACGAAATAATTTTAAAAATACCCATGTGCCCCATGGTCACAAAAATGCTGATCGGTTTTAGACGAATGGACGTAAATCTTTTCTACACAAATATAAAGTACGGGAGGGGGCACACTGCATGTACATTACCATAATGTACCTTAGAAAAGTTTGAAAATCGCGTCTATTTAAATAATAATAATAATTATATACTTATCCGGAACATCGAGGATCCCAGCGCGGTAAATCTATCATAACAAGTAGTATCTATATATTTTAGCTCATACATTTCTGAGTGTACCCCAAGTTGACGTCATTATGATTGACTTTTAAAATGCCTTTGATTCCGTATACCACTCAACTTATATTCTAAAGAACTTGAGAACTTAAAAATAAGGAACCCACTTGTATCATGGCTCACTTCTCATTTCACGGGCACCTCACAATTTGTCAAACTAAATAATCGAGTCATTCGAGTCTGGTTGAAGTTTCATCTGGAGATACTCAGAGTTCCTCAATTCTATTTATGTTCATTTTAAATAACGAAACAATATTGTACTGTATGCTGACGAACCAAAATTGATTATATTGTTGATTGGCATATCTATAAAATGAACTACCTAGATATTTTTAACCATTGACTAAAATATAAAGTAACCTTAACTCTCAGCTTGAATACCTAAGTGTCAAATAATCTCCTTATCCAGATCTCGCTCATCCATAGTCTTGTTTTCCAAATAATTTTCAACTCCAACGCGTTTCCATAGTTAAAGATCCCGGGGTATACTATACTCTTTCTCTCTTTCGTTTGAACATCACATAAACTTAACCGTAAATAAAGCATTGCAAGTCTTTGGATTCATAAGCGTAACACCAACAACAGTTTCTCTTTGTCTCCATTCTTTGTACTTTTCACTTGTCAGATCTCTCCTCGAATATGATTTAGATATGTTTGCAACCTTTCCTTGTGAAAGACAAATCCCGTCTCGAACTTGTTCAAAATAGATTTTTAGCTTATACTCCTTTCATTTTCTATACTTCAGTCAACCACCACGACTAATCACCTAGGTTCCTCCTGATGTCCTTCACATCCAAACTCTATTCTCTTCGAAACTGACCAATGTTTCATTAACTCTCTTTTAAATTGGTCTCCGGACGCTCTAGATCTTTTCAAAAGAGTTTGTTTTTGAATTTCCTTATATTCTACACGCAATCAGATTACTGCTTTCTCTTTCTCCGGTCACACCATCCCTTTCACCACGTGCTCAGAACACATAATACCCTCATTTTTTAAATGTTTGAATCGTTAGATTTAGATTTACATTATATTTGTACACCTTTATAATTGCCATTTAACATTTATATTGTAATAAAATTTGCGATTTACAAGCTTCCTGTTAGGCATCAAATCTCCACCTCATGATTATTCCCCAGTTGCTATTCAGCTTAATCTAGCCTCACTGGCAGAGCGCAGGCGCATTATGGGTAGCAAGTTCTTGAATGGACTGTTAGATGGTAGTGTTGATTCCCCAACTTTACTATCCTTAATTAATTTTAAAGTACCCCAACGCTCCACCCGCTCCATTACTCCATTTCATGTCCCTTTTTGTTCCACCAACTACTTACTAAATGAGCCTTTAAGGCGTATGATGCATAATGCCAATCTGGACCCCACTTTCTCTTTTAGTTAGCTCTGTCATATTTATTATTATTGAAATGCATATGTATATTTTTAATATTATTGTTATTAATATTATTATTTTTTGTTATTTTTTTTTCATCTTCTATTTACTTTTCTTTCTTTGTAAACCATTTTATTACCAGTTTTCTATGTAAAAAAAGGGCCTAGCCCGTATATTCCAATAAAAAAAAAAATAAATAAATAAATAAAATAAAATATGTGTGTAGCCTACATTGTTAAAATCATTATTATCTATATAATTCGAAATATTTGTTGCACACGAGTTCCACCAATCTGTACGCAATATTACAAGCTCAAGCCCATTCAATGTTACCTAATTAAATATAATACGTATAATGCAACTTTGAGTGAGTTTATAACTATTAAGGTACTTGTGTTGTCTATAGTGCTATATATATATATATATATATATAAATGTATAGTGTATACACATTACACAGATATTGCATACTAGCGTGAAACTTAAATGCTTTCATGCAGAGCAATGACAATTCTGCGTATTGTAATTAAAATTGTTTCCAAGTCCGATTACAATATAATATGTAGATGGAACAGGATGACTGGTCGTGACTCGTGGATGTCGTATATTATATATAGACATTTCTTTTCAAACGTCGTGCACTCGTGCTCATTTACTCATAATATTGTACATTGTACATAGTATAGACTATTGAATGTAGAGTGTATAGTGTTTAATAAAGGATAATTATTTTATCTCCGAACACCACTCGATATTTGCGGGAAAATGTTACGGTTGTTACTGGTTGGGTATTGCAGGGTATAACATCAAAGGTCAGGTCGGACGATAGATAAATTCATAAACGATTTGAGGTTAGGTTTGGGTCAGGTTGCGGCATACTAGCGTTATCCATATTAGAACATTTTCCAAACATCGAGTGATAAAATATGTACAACAATAATATTACAGCGGCGGCGGCGGCGACTATACAAGACGGATATTCGAAAAACGATGGCGACCATACATAATTTATATATTGCATAGCAGTAACACCCTTCAAAACTTTGTGGGGACCGCGTGTGTTTCGTGTAACACATTGTTTCAAAGTCGGGTGATAAAAAATGCTCTTTTCGAGGGGAAAAAAATTAGCGCTCTGCACGTCTACCACCGCGGAGTATACGCGTTATCTATCATCATCTAAGTGTCCCGAGGCGTCCAGCAGGCTGTTTTACCGTCAGTTCGACAGCGGCGTTTAGCAAACGGGAAAGCCTATACTATAATGGCCAGCAAGTATGTAAAGCGGGGTTAGATTTTTTCCACGATAATATGCTGTTTTTTGTTTTGTCTTTGCGGTCTTCGCGCGTTTAAGACGCACACCGTTTCAAACACTTACCTACTCATAAACGTATACCTATAAGGCGCTAGTCGCTATACAGAGGTCGTCGAAAACGAACCTTTTTGATTACTATTTCACAAGTTTATTACTCACTCTGCTTTTCCAATACTTCGGCCGACTCCTCGCCCTCTTCGTCGCTTTCGTCGCCGTCGTCGTCGTCGGCTTCATCGTCGTCGTCGTCTCCATCGTCTTCCACGTCTTCGTCTGATTCCTGCACATACTCGTCTCCTGGCTTGACTGTCGGCAACGGCAGAATACCGTCGTCGGTCACCGGCACCTGCGTGTTACCGTCGTGGATTTCCTGAAGCCTGTGATGCCGCGATTTCTGAAACACCAAAAATAAGTTTAAATTTTTTGTAAATTTGACATGCCGTAGAGGCATAATACCCGCAGGCGTGGTAAGATTTACCACAGGCCTCCAAAAAATTATAACTTTTTCCTTACGAATATAGACATTTTTAAATATTTAAACATTGATAATATTGTACCTAGTTAATCTATTTTTTTACGTATCCAATTTTTAGTACCTACTACTTATACGAATGCGCTTGCCTAAAAAATACTGAAGTATCAAAACTTTAAATACATCAATATACATACATTATTAATCGACAAATGATCAACCACTTAATTATTTTATCCCAATAACTGCTATTTATTTTTGTTTCTGGTTTCGGTATATTTTTTATGGTTATTACTTATTATTATGCATTGAATATACTGACTTGCATTGTATTTTCTTGAACAATGACATTTATATGAATAGTTATATAATTTTATAATTTATTCCACTGAACACGAAACTTTATGCATATTGATTAATGTCGATCAGTGTCAAATACATTAATTACCTAAATAAAGAATATGACTAAAAAACCATAAGATTTATTTTCGCACAATGAAAAGTGTAATGGCTTAGTTAATGGTATAATGTACCTATAGTTGATATTTGATAAGATGACCTTTTAGAAAAATAATATTAAATGGGACTTTATCGAAGAATATTGCAAAATGCGGCTCTGTTTGCGGGTATAATACATTTTTGTGACATTTAATTAAAATTTTAGAGTCCCTAGGCCATAGCTGGTTTTATAGGAACCTACTTTAGTTGTCTGTGAACACGCGTTCATAATAAAACAATAATCAACGTGTCACACATTAAAAAAAAAGCACTATTATCAGTTTATGGCCTTGTACGGTATGTTACATGCCATAGTTTAAGTTTAATTAATCCGCATATCCCGTTTTTTTTTTTTGAATTTAATTCTTTCAGTTTCCAATAATAGTAAATACCTTAATAGAATTAAATACTTAAAAAAACTTTCTAAATGGCAATAATTCAATGTATAATTAACTTGGTGGATATTCGTTTGAGGGGATTGGAGTTATATTTAATTTCAACGGATACAATAAGTATTAACTTTCCAAATCCGTTTTAGACTTAACGAAATGCGTATATATTTATAGTCGTTTAGAATTAATTAAAATTGAGCGTCTTTACGGGGACCTTAATAACCGTCCAGGTTGTTCAACCAAAAGCAGTCGAAAACAAAGAAATCGAAACGAGAGACCGTTATCCAAAAGTCAAATATAAAGTGTAATACAATTTATAATTTTGTCACGAACTATAATGGCAAATAAAACTGGAACTTATAAATTCTTTTCCGTTTCCCGCCATTGAATATATTCAAATGTAGCTATTTTAATATGCTTAACGAAATACGTCTATACATTTGTTATTATGTAATATGTTCTAACTAATAAAATCCACTCTATATACTAAGGTTGGTGGGGGATTTTTGTGGTGAGTCCCATCTTCCAAATAAAATTTCTAAAAATATTATATTGGAGAGTTCCGAAGTATACAAATATAGTAAAAACGTTTCTAGTTACGCCTATACGTTCATCTACATTGGGTTAAGTTGGTCTATTATGCATATTATAATAAATATTTGCATTTTAGTGTTACAATAATCTATATTAATTTAGATTGAAATACATAGTTACATAGGGTTACAAATTTTAGTGCCATAGTGGTATTATATGTTTAATATACATAATTTTTGTTATACAAAGCATACTGCAGCTTATAGAATCAAGTTAATTATTGTTCATTTGCTTCGAATGTGTTACAAATGAATAATAATGATATGTACTTATGTACAAACTAGAAACTAGAAAGTATGATTTAATAAATTTTTAAGACTGCAGTCTTAAAATGTAGTTATTTTAATATTATTATTAGGTACCGATAAAACGGGTACATTCCCACAGGGTGTAACCTCGTACATAATTTAAGCGTATAACGAGCACTCGATTTAAAACAAAATAAAACATCTAAAATCGATGTTATAATGTTTAAAGCTATATACCTTACAATATAGGTAGGTACCACCGTGGCCCATAATATAGCAATACATTTTAACATAAACTATAATATTATGTGAGACACGGCAAGTGCTAATTATATATACAAATACTTGGCTATAAAATCAAATTAATTATTGTTCGTTTGCTTCGAATGTGTTAAAAATGAATAATAATATATTAATATTACTTATAGAAAATAATCAATTTTTAAGACTGTAGCGTTGTTTTAATATTATTATTATTAGGTACCGATAAAATGGATACATTCCCACAGGGTATAATATCCTACATAATTTAAGCGTATAACGAGTACTGGATTTAAAATAAAATAAAACATCTAAAATCGATGTTATAATGTTTAACGCTTTTATACACCTTACAATATAGGTAGGTGGCCCATTATATACCAATACATTTTAACATAAACTATATTATGTGAGACACGGAAAGTGCTAATTATATATACAAATACTTATAGCTATATATGGGGTAAGTACAATGTCGGTGAATATGTATGTCGGTACCAACTACGCATACCAAATGTGTATTGGACGTCGGGTTAATATAATATTATTATACAAGCTATACATATATAATTATATTAGTATAGGTATACACATCGGGAGGTGATGATAATCGCATGTGAAGTGTCCATAAGTGCATAATATATTACGCATCGGCGATCGACAGTTTTGGAATATATTACACGGCCATATATAATATATGTATAATGTGTAAAGGGGAATACAATATTATAATAAATCATTAAAACAAGAACAATATAATTATGATTATGGATTTGGTTGTCAAAAACGGCGGTGTATTATTATTTCAAATGCCGTCCGGATTAAAATAGAGTGCATCTCGATGATGCGTTCCGCGATAGTTTTAGTAAACATAACGGTCGTAAAATCACGCAATTATCATTATTATTATTGTTCATATTTATATCATTATTATACCTATATATATGTATTTGGTTAGGCGTAATGCGTTTATGAAAGCCGGTATGATAATCGGAAACGTTGAATATAATATTATTATATAGGTAGCCATATTGTATCCACTTATCGTTTTTAGACTCTGCTACAGATAGCTCATCACGCATTTTGATCATGATTATATGGCAGGACGAATACAAATTTTCTTTGCACAAAATATTTAAAATGTGGCGTTGTGCGTGCATCTACGTGCACCTGTGTGTATAAGATTATGAGCTGATGAGATGGTAGGAGTATTATGGGACTGAGAGAATAACGAATGAACACGAGTATACCTACCTTATACTGCAGTACCTACATATTATTATACTATAATTTAGGTACGTACTCGGTAAGACGATTTTCGGAGAAAACATTTCGGTGAGACGGGACTTGAAAAAAAAAAATTTGTAAATAATATAGAACCGAATTGGCAGGTCACGTGATCAGAAGCGAAAGACATATTATGCAACGATCGGGGACGCGTGGGAATGCGGAGAAGACTGCGGCCAGAATATTATAACATTATATTATAATATGTATATTATGTGCACTCGCCAAGAAAAAATTCATCGAGTGTGCGAATTTCGTATTGGGAAACGAAAACGCAAGCCGATCGATGGGAAACGCTGTGACAATTATTTGCGATGACCGAGGATCGACGACCAAGAACTTTTTACGACCATACCAGCAGCTATGCATGATAATCATACAGATAGAGAGATGTATAGTCAAATTTTTAGTGGGGGAGAAGGTTAAATTTTTATAGCTTTCGTATAATTATATGCAAACAAATTTGCATAACCGCACAATGTTTTAAATATTTTTTTCGCCTTTATTATAAATATTACCATAAACCATAATATTATAAAATATGAATGACGAAAACATAATTATATTCTTCTACGACAGCGCAGCAACAAATCAAAAATGAGTACCTACAACTTTTCATTGACCAAATTGAATAAAAATCAGAGGGTCAGCCGTCAGGCCGAAAAGATAAAAACTCACTGTAGCCACAGTATAATATCTTCTAAACCTATTATCGTGGACTATGTTATTATGTGGTAATGGTATACTTTGATCATCGTTTTAATAAAGTTTAATATTATAAAATTTTAGTTTAATAATTCAGAAACCATTAGTTTTGGGCATACGTAAACTGCGCCCGAATTTTTATCTTAGTTGAAAAGATATAATGTAAACTGCGCCCGACTAATAAACTTATTAAATTTTCACTTATCAAAGTCTCTATGTTTGACGGTTGTGTACTTTTTCAAGCTTAAAATTTGAAAATTTAATTAATAAATATAATAGTAGTCAAATTCAAATTGACGAATATGTATCCACCATATGTAATTATTTGTAATATTTATAATTATTTTAATTTTTAAAATTATATTTTATTTTTAATTATTCAAATTATATGGCTGTAACGAATTAAGTATTTTACCTGTAATTTTACCCGGGCGCAGTTTACATGTGTGATTTTGTGTTTACCTGTATTTTGGGCGCAGTTTACAATCGCTGTTAGTTTTCATTTTAATGCATATGTTTTGTACATAATACAACGCATCAATGTGAAAACGCACGTAGGTATAGGTACTATTAACAATTAACAGTAAAAAACGATGTTGTTGTTGTTTTCAAGAAATGAAAAGTTTTCATCACCACAAAACACTCCTTAAATCAGTGGTTTTCAAGCCGCTAACATGTTTGTGGTGTGCCGCGAGCGTCGGAACTGTTAAATTATTTTTAAATCCGAAAGCTACCGAAAACGTTAAATCATGCGTGTAACTTTGAACAAGTGTATCGTAGTGTGTAGTGATTCCAAGGAAATGTCCGTGAGATAATAACGATGAGCTGCGCATTTGGATCGTCTATTGAATATTACATTCTATTTATAGTTGTACATAATATATGCGTCCGTATATATAGTACTTACTATAGTATTGTAAAGCTTATCCGGTAGAAG